GATGTGGTTGCCATGGGCTGGGTGAGGGGAAACAGGGTGTGACTGCAAATGGGCACAAAACAGGGTTCCTTTTGGGGCAGAGAAAATGTTTTGGAACCTGAGACAGGTGATGATTACACTACAGGTAAAGGTACTAAACGGCACTGAATTGTGTCCTTTAAAATGGTTTTATGTTATTTGAATGTATTGCAATAAAAATGAAAGAAATGAGCTATCAAGAAATGAAAAGACACAGAAGAACCTAAAATGCATATTTCTAGGTGAAATAAACCAATCTGAAAAGGCCAATACTCAATAATTCCAATATATGACATTCTAGAAAGGGCAAAACTGTGTAGAAAGATCAGTAAGCACAGGCAGACGGAGAGGAAGAGTGGAAGCACGGAAGATTTTTAGGGCAGCGAAACTATTTCGTACGACACTGTAATAGCTGATACATGACATTATCCATTTGTCAAGATCCACAGAATGTACAACACAGAGAATGAGCCGTACTATAAACTGTGGGCTTCGGTTAGTATTAAATATATCAACGCGGGCTCATTAGTTGTGACAGACATAGCACAGGAAACTGTAAGAAGGGATGTGGGGGCTCTGCATTATCTGCTCAATTTTTCTGGAAATCCAGAATTGTTTGAAAAAATGAAGTCTATTAATGTAAGAAAGTGAAAGGGAAATAAATACCTTTCCAGACAAAAATTGAGAAAGTCCATTGCTAGCAGACTTGTAGTAAAATAAATACTAAAGTTCTTCAGGCAGGAGGAAAATCATGCCAGACAAAACGTGTAACAGTAAGAAGGAAACAAAGACCAAGGGAGAGCACCTCTGTTCCTCGTCCCGATTACTCTCACAGATCAAAACTGTTTTAAAAATATACGTTCCTCGTCCCGATTACTCTCACAGATCTAAAACATTTAAAAACATACATTACTTGTCCCGATTACTCTCATATATGTAAAACATTTAAAAATATACCCCGGTCTGGCTGTCACCTCCTAACGTACTTAAGAATGCTAATAGTACATAAACTTAAAACCCAGAGAAGCTCCCACCAGCTAACAAGGTAGTGGGTCATTCACTTGCGTTGGTTTTGCTCTTCTGGGAACAGTAACCCGCCACCACCCTGGCATCTCTGGTGCCTTCCACAAGCACAGGTTTTATGAGCTGGGCCCAGCTCTCATGGCACTGAGTATGGCCAGGAGGGGACACCTGACTTCTACTGGGGTGACCGCAGAGTCTCTCAGACCTTAGCCCCTCCTCTGAAAAGCAGAAATGACATATACTTCTCTTGGGGTTGTAAAAATGACTAGATTAGATGGGGCCAAAATCCTCAGTGCCTCCTCTACTGCCATCAAGAGAGAGGAGAGAGCATAGAACGCACGGCAGTGCACAGACCTCACAGGTCAAGGGCTGCCTGTGCTCACCTCTGACATTAGCAGAACTTGTTTCCTTAACTTTAAAACAAAGGTGGCAGGTGAGCTGTGAGGTTTCAATGACTTCCATGTCAAGAGTTAGAAGACAGCCTGCAATGAGTGCTACCACAGTCACCGTTTGATTTCTCATGTGATTTCTGTTACACTCCTCCAAGTGCAGAGAGGCAGCCCTTGTGAAGCTATCCACACCGTCTTCCTCCTCTCGCTGGCCTGTCACCTGCCTCTCCGGTGAGGCGCTGGCTGCTGTTGGGCTGAGTCCTCTTGGAACTTCCTTGGGTTTCTTACACCAACGTTAAAGACTGAAGTAATCTCCCACCCCAGCCCCAGCCTCAAACTACTGCTTCTGTTGTTCCAGCACCATTTCTGCACCCTGGGGTTGTTGTTTACATTCCCAGCTCACCTTCCTCCCCAAAGCTATTCCCCTGACATTCAGGTGCTCCCTCCCCCTCATGCTTAGATCTCTGTCCCCAGTCCCTCTGGATATCCCTGCCAAATGTATCTTGCTAAACCCCCGTTTTAAAACTGGACACATCCCTCTAGTGGATATCCGGATGCTGCCCTGTGTCTAGGGATCAAGCCCAACTCTTCCAGTTGTGTAACCTACAGTGCTGCTTCCTGTGGTCATCTCAGTTCCCACAGTTCCTGACTCTTCTTCCCACTGCACAGCTCCTCCTCATCCCACCTCTGAAAGAACACACCCTACCTCAGACACCAGGGCTACAGCCAAAAATGGAAAAAACTTAGTATTGAATCCAAGATGTGATCAATTATAAGCTGCACTATGTGCCACTAAGAGTACCGTCCATTAACAATAACACACCCTTGTAAAACAAACCTGATTTCTGAGATGTTAAGGCACACGGAAAGTGCTGGAACTGAGCCTTCCTGGCTCCTGAAGACTCCAAGATACAGGGTAGTGTGGGAAGCTGAGTAACAGCCCTCAAAAGGTGGCCACGTCCTGATCTCTGGAGTTTGTGAGTGTCGCTTTATATGGCAAAAAGAACGCTGCAGATGTGATGAAATGAAGGATCTTCTGGGGCGGAGGATTATCCATAGAGGCCCTAAATGCCATCTCTAGGATCCTTAAAAACGGAGGAAGTCCAGCCTGGGCAACACAGTGAGACTCTGTCTCTACAAAAAATTTTAAAAATTAGTGAATTCGCTTGATGTGGTGGTACAGGCCTGTAGTCCCAGATACTCGAGAGGCTGAAGTGGAAGGGTTGCTTGAGTCCAGGAGGTCGAGACTGCAGTGAGCTATGATCACACAACTGCACTCCAGCCTGGGTGCAAAGAGCTCACTGCAGCCTCAACCCTTGTCTAAGGAAAAGAAAGAAAAGAGGGAGGAACAGAGGTTTGACAAAACAGAAAGCAGAATGGCCCCATGGGGACGGAAGCAGCTGCTGGCTCTGAAGGAAGAAGAGCCTGCAGCCATGGACATGGAATGCGGCTGCGAAGCGAGAAAAGCAGGAAAAGCTTCTCCCCAGGAGCCTCCAGCATGCACAGCCTGCCCACCCCTTAGTTTTAGCCCAGAGGAACTGATTTCGGACTGCTGGCCTCCAGAATCGTTAAAAGGTAAGTGTGTTGTTTGAAGCCACCAAGTCGATGGCACTTTGCCAGGGGCCCTAATGCATCAGCCACGTCGTCCTTTCCCGACTGCTCCAGCAATGACACTGACATCCACGGAGCATTTCTTCTAAAACTTTGCTTCACACACAGCACCATTCGTGAGTAAGTAAAATCAATTCTTTCTACTAGTTACTGGATAAATTCCAAGATCTTTATATGTGTGGAAAAAATAAGTAGGAAGAGTACTGTTACTTCGTATTGGATTATATTTGGGGTTTTGGTTTCAAAATTCCAGCACGCAGACATTAACGTAGACGGTGTTAACAAATTTTAGACACGCACTTACTAGCCATTTAAAGATTTGTAGCACAAATGAAATAAATTAATGATCTCAGTAGGCAATTCACTTCTAATTGTGTATGAATATCAACACCAGCTTTATATAACATTTTACAAATTGGGTACAAAGTATAAACCAAAAACAAAATTCTAAGCTCCCAACTATCTGAATAGCTCCTCCTCTCTGCCAGGAGCTTTCCAAAGTTAACCTGTAAAACTACTTCAGGCCAAGATGGGGGGGGCGGGGCGTCGGACACACCTCATTACCACCGACACAGACCTTAAGACTGACAGACTCTTTAAGTCTGACAGGAAACATTTACCATCTATTCTCTCTGAAGCCTGCTACCTGGAGGCTTCATCTGTAGGATAAAACCTTGGTCTCCACAAGGTAATCCAGACATTCCTTTCTATTGATTCCAGGTCTCTAGATAGTAACTTAACCAACTGCCAATCACAAAAAACTCTGAGTCCAGCTATGATTTGGAGCGCTCCCCACACTAACCCGCTTCCAGCTGTCCCACCTTTCTGAACCAATGTACCCCCTTCCAGCTGTCCCACCTTTCTGAACCAACGTACCCGCTTCCAGCTGTCCCACCTTTCTGAACCAACATACCCCCTTCCAGCTGTCCCACCTTTCTGAACCAACGTACCCGCTTCCAGCTGTCCCACCTTTCTGAACCAATGTGCAGCTTGCATGCATTGACTGATGTCTTACAGATCCCTAAAACTTACAGGTCAACCACCTTGGGCACAAGTCTTGAGACTATGTCACCAGCATCCTTTAGCCCTGGCAAATAAAATACTAAATTAATTGAGACTTGTCTCAAATACTTTTGGTTTACAGACTAAACTAAATGCTTTAACAAATATGTAACGAAGTCTCATAAGAAAATGGAAGGTGAAAGTATCATTCAGATTAGTAATTTTAGCAATTTGATACTGGTTCTCGAAACGTGAGCAGCATAACCAAAAACTAGCATATAATATGTATTCCAGTATAATATTTATGGCATGAAGCAAGTTAAATAATGTTCTCCTCCCACATCACTGGATGTATTTTCTACAGAGTCACCTTACTCTGGGAAACTTAAAACGTGTCAATCCCTCAGACATAAACAGAAGGAAACAACTCCACATAGAATACACATTAAAATTAAACTATTACAACTGACCCCAAAATAGGATGTGCACTTTCAAATTCCCACTTTTTAGTCACTAACCAGCACTTATTCACACGAGGAAGTTAACGAATATTTGAATAATTAAATGTTGTATGCACAAAATGTAAAATTAACTATCATTATCTACGGCATCAGGGTGACTCCTGGAAGTGGAGTCAAGAAAGATCAGACATGTCCTTGGAACAATATTTGTTTTAAGTAAGAAGATACACAGCAAATCAAGACCAGGAAGAGGAGTGACAATGTAGCTCCTTGGATATTATTTTAGGGATACACAGAGAGGAAGAGAGAGAAAGTGAAATTTTAAGGCATACACACTTGCAAGTGTTAATAATAACAAAGCATTATGGTAGATAAATTCTTAGCAACAGTGTAAACAAACCACAGTGGAACAGAAACAAAGAAAAACCCCGGGGCTCATCTGTTCCATTTCAGCAGCAGTGGGGGAGGAGGTGGCAAAGGCCACACCAGGACTTGCCTGCAAGCGGAGCACTGGTCACAGCTGTGCATCTCCGGGCCTGTGACTCAGATGGCTGACCCGAGGACATGCCTCGCTGCCCGCCCATGTCCAGTGTGCTCACCGGCCTCTCCCCATTCCAACCTCACAACCGCAGCACAGAGTCAGGCTCAACCCCCATGAAACCGAAGAGGAAATAAGGTTCTAAGAGTTGTGCCTGACTCACTCAAGGGCAGGGAGTTAGGAAGGGGTGGGTCTCAGGGCACAACCCACACCCACCAGAGCCAGAGCCTGAGCCGTGGGCTCTGCGAGATGGTGGGAGTCTCAAAGCTAACCAGAGGCCAGTGGCCACACCTCAGCACACCCTACAGGGATGAAGGGCAGCCCACTCACACGGGCACTGGCCACATGATAGGTCAGGTCCAGGCAAGGACACACCAATTCAGCAAGTCATCACGGGAACCTCAAAGTAGCCATCACTCAATTGTGCTACACGAAACCACTGCAGTTAAAAATACTTGTAACTGTTAGCAAACTTTAATATACCAACACAGCACAGGGGAAGAAAAGCAATCCGAAGTTGTGACTCATTATGGAGGGAATGCTTTCTTCCAAAGGTTATTCAGATAAAAAGAGACAGGGATAAATCTTCTGTCTTTTAACATCATACCATGCAAAAACAAACACTGCCTTCCATGGCCAGACTTTTGCTTATACAATTATCACGTCAGTCTAATGAGTTCAAAAATAATTCATATATCCTAGACACAGATCTAATAAATAACTCAAGTAAATACGTTTTCATAACTTAAAAAGAGCAGGAAATTAAATATCTCAAATTCTATTTTTATCTCTTCTCATTATATCATATCTCACAATCTAGTTTTTCAAATGTCTATCAGACATCATTTAAATAAAGTCTGGTAGTTCCACAAGACAGATGATATTGCAATAGTCAAAGTCATATTTCTGAAGAATAACATAATATCCATAATATAGCATTTAAGAAAGGAGGATACTGTACACACACATATATATCCAAACATATCATTAAAAGATTAACAAAATCCACAAAATGTTGCTAACGTTATCACCAGTTAATAGAATTGTAGGTAATTTTTTTCTTCTTTATTCTTCTCCAAAGCTTCTTCTTCAATGAGCATACTTTCTTCTTTAAATCAGAAAAAATATGTTTTTGAAATCTGTCCAGCCATAAGAAATGAAGAAAAATACAACTGCATGTTCATTAAATATAGAAAGATAAAGGTGGACTTCACTGTGTAACTGAATAAATTAAAAAAAAGAATCAAACTCAGTTTCAATGACAATTTTACAAGTAATAAAGAAAGCACAATGAAAACCATCATACTAGTATTTCCACATCTGCTGTTGGTGTGGTTATCACTAATGCCAGTATGCAATCACCAGGCACAAAACTAAAGCTGTTATCCGAAAGGACACTGCTGCTGCCATACACAAGTGGATACACAAGTGCAGGTGGGATGCGCTTCTAACTTCGTATTGATACTTTCATCTAGTCACGGCCGCAATCCATTAAACCCTATTCAATTTATACTTTTCTACCAACTACCATTATGGATGGTTTGGTATTATGAATGATCTTTTTCATATATTTTTTCCTGGATTTTAAAAAAATGAACATGTATTACTTTTACTAGAAGAATGAGGGAGAGTCTAGAGAGATATAAGGCAATGGATAAAACATTTCAATTATAAGGAATAAGTTCAAGACATCTATTGCACAACACTAACTCTAGTTAGCAACAATGTAATATATTCTTGAAAAAATCACTAATAATAGATTTTCTAGTGTTCCACCACAAAAAAATGGTAAGCCCATGACATAATGCATTTGTTAATTAGCTCGATTTAGCACATTCTACAATGCATACATGTTTCAAAACATGTTGAACACAATGAAAATAATACTTTCATCAGTTAAAAAAAATAACAATAGCCAGGTGCAGTGACTCACGCCTGTATTCCCTCCTATGTCTTTGGGAAGTAGACCGGGAGGATCGCTTGAGCCCAGGAGTTCAAGACCAGCCTGGGTAACATGGGGAGACTCCCCCTCTACAAAAAATTTTAAAAATTAGCGAGATTAGTGGCACATGCCTGTAGTCCAAGCTACTGGGAGGCTGAGGTGGGAGGGGTGACTGAGCCAATAGGTTGAGGCTGCAGTAAGCCATGACTGTGCCACTGCACTCCAGTCTGGGCAACAGAGCAAGACCTTGTGTCAAAAATAAATAAATAAAAAGAATTGAAAAAAACCTACCAATTCATACTATGACTAATGCTAGGATTAAACAGACTTGTTGTGTTATTGCAAGCTAGTAAATTTCTGAGTTTAAGGCCTTGTCTCACACATATTTTGTGTCACTAGCACCTAGCACAGTACCTAGAACATAACAAATGCCTAATAAATGTCCATAAATTCATCAAGACTCATTTTTAATCCTTACATATAAATTGGATTAGTTTCTTAAAATATGATCCAGGAAAAAATTCACAAAAATAAATAGTTTGCTTTAACAAACATTACAGAACTTTAAAAACAGTTAAGAAAAATAAATGAAGAAAAAAATCAGTGACAGGGAGAAAGACTCTGGAAAAACCTCTGTAAATAAAAGATGCTTTATGGAAAAATGATCCCATGCAAAAGACAACTACCAGCATATTCACCATCTGTGTAAGAACTATGCCCCACCCAATTCCAAAACAACAGAAGGTGACTCAGTGTTCAAGACACAATAAGATCATTGAGAGTAAAAGAAGATCGTCTGTTTGAAGAAAAGTGCGACAGGTACTCCCAGCTAGTACAGCAGTACAGGGCCCAACAATCCAGCAATCATTTTGGCTGTGAGTTTTCTGGTAGCTACAGCCAGAATTGAAGTATACTGCATTGCACAGTAGCTTTCCTTTTCTGATTTCACAAGCTTAGATCCGAACACATCACTACTTTCACCCCGTCATGTCCAAACTCTCTGAAAAGTACGACAGTAATCACACCCACATCCCTGCACCCTGTAAATCAGAACTGCCCTGAAGGCCTGGGCCAGCCATCCAGAAGGAGCACTTCTACTCCTCACCCATGGGGACCTGGGCTGGGGTCTAGTGGGACCACTTCCATTCCTCACTGCTGGGCCCAGAGTAAGTTCCAAGCTGAGTGCAGCCTTCTATCAGGTGGAGGAGTTACAACCCTATCAGAACTTCCGTGGAGTTCCCTCCAGATGAGATGGCCCAGAAATCTGCCTTTGCAACTGTCCTCCACACGCTCGTACCGCTGCCACTGAACAGAAGGCCCCATACCCTTCAGTAAGAATAGAATCTCTTCCCTAACATGCCCGTAAGTTTATAACACACCCCCTTACTAACCATCAAGCCCTCCCTGCCCCTTTCTTCTGAATCACCGTGACAGGGCGCCATCACCACAGCCGCCTCCCAGGTGCTATTCTAACTACTCTGAGAAGAGTCTAAATATGAAGACAGGATGACTTCTTACACTTTTGTTGGCACAACACTCTGCATACAGTGGGTCCTTACATCTCTAAATGAAGAAATAAAATTCCTCCGAGACAGAATTGTCATGAAAACTAAAAAAGATAATGACTTGCCAAACCACAACAAAATGCAAGAGACCACAAAAGACCACAACGTATTATATAATACATGATAAAATTATGTTCTGATAGAATATACCTAGTATAAAACAAACCAATCCATAAGCTAAACTACTCAAACATAGGTGGTCTTTATATACTGATACCTTGAATCACAGTTAAGAGTTTGGCATAACTCACAGAAACACAGATTTGTTTTTCATATTTTTGAAACATGATTTCTATTGTTATGCAATTAAAATTAATATTTGTTTAAGCCAATATAGTACAGTATCAGTGTTTAAAGGACTATTATAGGCCAGATGTGGTGGCTCACACCTGTAATCAGAGCACCCCTGATGTCTATATTTTTTAACAGTGCTATTGAGATATAATTAACATACTAGTCAATTCACTCATTTAAGTATACAACTGGATGGTTTTAGTGTATTCACCACGCCTACTTCAAGGTTAAAGGCTGTGACCAATGAGGAAATCATGAGAGCCCACAAGAAAGATCACAGGTTCACCAGGTCTAACAATAACACTGTTCCACAGCTGATCTTCACAGGGCGGAAATTTACATTTATGAATACGTACTTATAAAATATAAGTGTATATATTCATATAAAGTATTTATATTTCAGTCCTAGCTCCATATTCTCCCATCCTTAAATGTAGAATGATAATACTAATCTTAATAGAAGTTTTACTAAATCCACAACATACAGGCTGATGGATGCATATATCCTAAATTTAAATCTATTTTTTAGCTTAAACTAAAAGCCAGATATTTACTGCTTTAATTTTAGCCATCTTGGGGCATTACTGTTCTAACTGAATGAGGCTCTCAGACCACAGAACTGAAGCAACACAACGGTCACATCCTTTCCCTTCTGTGTCGCAGCCGCAATATGGGTGTAAACAAGAAACCCCAGGCAGCACCCTCATTCTATCTGCAGCTACGACGAGGACTCCAACACTTCTTCAACCACATGATCGCTTGGATTCAGGTACTAAAGTAGCACTTGTTTAAAATAGCAAAATTGTGGCTCCTGAATTAGCTATGCCAACTATTTTCAGTTACAAGTCTTCACAACATTTCATTAAAGTATTAAGTGAAGATTAACACGAAGAATTAAAAAAAATAAATAAATATTTGCCCTTTCTTTACATGAGACCACAGTGCATTATTTTCTTTTGTTCATTTGGTTCTCAGACTACACATACCGTAATTTGGCTAGAGTTAAATTTTCCTGAACTTCCCAGAAGGGCAATGGGAAGAAAGCTCTCCCCAGAGAAAGCTTGTATACAAAAGTACAGAACAACATAACCAAGGAAGCTAATATGCTTTAATTCTCAATAATCCAAGTATGAGGTGATAAAAGACCGACTGTCAGAACAGTTGAGTAGTATTATCCATGACAGTATTATCCATGGCAGCCACAGAATCAGCATTTAGTGGCAATAGTAAAAGCACGACAGAGTCAGACTTTATTCTATGAAGATCTAATATTTTCAAATCTATTTATTTTCAAATAAATAAAAATAGCAATGAAAAATTGCCCTTATTCATCTCTATAAAAACTCTTCAAGAATCTTCTTCACAGTCCTGAGCATGGTGGCATGTACCTGTAATCCCAGCTACTTGGGAGGCTCACGTAGGTGGTTTGCTTGAGTCTAAGAGTTCAAGACCAGCCTGGGTAACACAGCAAGAACTTCCTCTCTTTAAAAAGTAAAAAAGGTTGGGCGCGGTGGTTCACACCTGTAATCTCAGCACTTTGGGAGGCTGAGGCTGGTGGATCACCTGAGGTCAAGAGTTTGAGACCAGCCTGACCAACATGGTGAAACCCTGTCTTTACTAAAAACACAAAAATTAGCCAGACGTGGTGATGGGCACCTGTACTCCCAGCTACTTGGGAGGCTGAGGCAGGAGAGGTTGTGGTGAGCCGAGACCATGCCACTGCCCTCCATCCTGGGCAACAGATTGAGACTCCATTTCAAAAATAAATAAATAAATAAATAAATGAATAAAATAATAAATAAATAAATAAATCTTCTCTTCTCCACCCAGAGTAGTCTAATTGTCCAGGGCCCATTAACACTGGGTAGACATTTAAACAACAAAAAGCCCTGTCCTCAATTCACCCAGCCTGCCAAGTCTTTCCCCTAAACAGTTGGAACATAACTGTTTATGGGAAAGGAAGTGAAGAAAAATAACACTTTAAAGCTGCAGGACCAAACTTACAGAATTATCACAGTTAAGTGAAAGCCATTTTTCATATCCTAATAGCCTAAATCAGGAAGAGTATATATTTTTTTCAAAGTATTAACACTCTTTATCTCGTTTCCATATCCAGCTTCAGTTTTTACTCAGTAAGAAGAAGAAAAGCTGCCAGTGAATATATACAAAAGTGAAGTGAGGAAATCAGTATCTGATTAATTCATGTTTTCCTATGTTTCCACTCTGCTATGAATTAATGGTTGTCAACGACATACTATGAAAACGAGTACAGTCTTTGGGATATACAAATATTTCTTGTTCAAGGCAAAATATCAGCCCAAAGTTCAGAAACCCCAAGAATCAATGTATGTATGGTAAAAATCAAAGTACTAGTAATATTGGCCAGGCATGATGGCTCACACCCGTAATCCCAGCACTTCAGGAAGTCTAAGTGGGAGGATCCCTTGAGGCCAAAAGTTTGAGAACAGCCTGATTTTATGATAATTTATTAAAGTATCAAAAACATTATATCACCCGCGGGGGTATGACCGGGAGTGCTCCAAGAAATGTGGCGTGAAATATCATGCATGAGAGCTGTGTGGGCAGGGGTTTTGAGGGGGTAGTTCAAAGCACATCAATAATAGAAGAAACTATGAATAAGAAAAGTTAAGATTTCAGGGCCGGGGCCGCGGTGGCTCAAGGCCTGTAATCCCAGCACTTTGGGAGGCCGAGACGGCCGGATCACGAGGTCAGGAGATCGAGACCATCCCCTGGCGAACACGGTGAAACCCCGTCTCTACTAAAACAATAACAAAAAAAAAACCTAGCGGGCGAGGCGGCCGGGCGCCTGTAGTCCCAGCTACTCCGGGAGGCTGAGGCAGGAGAATGGCCGTGAACCCGGGGGGCGGAGCTTGCAGTGAGCGAGATCCGGTCACTGCACTCCAGCCCGGGCTACAGACCAGACTCCGTCTCAAAAAAAAAAAAAAAAAAAAAAAGAAAAGTTAAGATTAATATTTACTTGCACTTTGGTTTGTTTTGTTTTATTTTTAGAGATGAGTTCTTACCATGTTGGTC